GATTTTCCTCTTGAAAACAAGTTTCTTCCTGAAAACAATATTAGCCACCTGAAATTATACCTTGATCTATAAACATTTGCAACATGATCCTGTTAAACTGAAAATTGTCTTCCCTGGCTGCCCTGACCTCAAGGATTACTCAGCTTCTTCAACTTGCTCTGATCAGCTGCTTCGCAGCTTGCCACTCCCTTAACGAGTAACTGCACTGCCATGCTGATTTGCCTCGATAAAATAGTTCTGCACAATAGGAACCATGCTACTGCAATTACATTTTAAAGGTACAATCTTTAGGGCAACTACCTCATGTTTCCAGATCTGTGATATAAGCCTCTGAACTTTCCTTTCAACCTGAAGGCAAGTAGAGATCAGATAGTGCTGCAGTAGATGCCTAGCAAACATGCATACAGCCATCTCACAGACTGGCAATGAATAAATTCCTCATTTTCTCGTACTGTATTATCCTTGCTATACATCTGAGAGATCCCTTTTATATCATGGATAAAAAACATCAACAATCCTAAAACATTGGTCTCAACTAAAGCTGGGGAAATATTTAGAGATCAGCCCTCCTGCAAACAGCAACACTCCTGTGTTCTGAATGGAAAATAACCAAATGCTGAACAGAATATGTGAGAGCAAAAAGTCTAATATCCGAAGTTAAAAAAATATCAAAAATAATAGCTGACAAACCAGTGGGAATGGAAAAAAAATAATGCTGAAACAGATTTCAGGCAAAAGAGAAAGGTTAAAGGACAAATGAAAGACAGAGCAAACAAATGGCAATATTATCTGTCTCAGCCACCAGCATCCTTTTGTTAAATACTTACGGAAGGAAGAGGCCTCTAGTTTTGTTGCCATATGGAATTCTATTCCCAGTGTCTTATGTCTGTAGTAAACTGAAAACTACAATTTGCTAATGACTGTGACAGAGTTTGGCAAAACTCTTCAACATATAGGGAAGGCTGGTAACTTTCTCTTTACTTGGCACGGGTCGCACAGAGGTTCGAAAAGAAAATTTGAGTCCAAAGCTAAATTTGGCCAAAAGAAAGAGCGTGTCTCCCTTTCTAGCCCTTTTGAGAGACAGACCTCCCATCCTAGACACCAAATTACTTCCCAGCTTTCAAAGTGTAGCAGCAACTGAGATCTTGGCAAAGCATGTTCTGAATTCAGCTTTACAAAAAGTTTCATAGATCTTGATACAACATTAGGATGGCCTTGTAAGTTAGATTCACCTGCCCATATTCTTCAATTAGCAGGTAAGAAATCTGAATATGATTATTAACTTCTTGGTTATCAAAATGATGAGAATTTACCTTTAACTAAATTTAGACCAATTTCTTAGTTTTCATAGTCAAAAAATTGAAGGCATAATTCTTTTCACTCAAACCTAAGGCAACTATTAAACAATACAAAAGAAACAGCTGGTTTTTGTACAAAAGATTTAGACACCAATTACCTTATATCCCAGGATAGTCTCAGTGACACCTTAATCGCTTGCTCTGATTCTCCTTTATTTTAGCAGTTTGAGAACTGAGTATCATTGCACTGTGGCCACTAAGTGAGCATAAGCCAGTTTGAAAAAAAAGGTTCATTGCTTCCCAACCCAAATGAATTAAAGATCATCTAATGTTATGGTTTCTGAGGGGCTTAAAGATGGCTTTAAGTTATAAATAACTTTTTAAAAGAGATATTTTAAAATAACATTTTTTTCTTTACAAATTTTAAAAAAAGTTATCCTTTATTGAAGGGGTGAATGATCCAGTTTTTTGCAAGGATCTATTATTCAAACATAGCAAAAATAATAGAATTTACATCCAAAATTCAGCTGAACATTACAGTTTGTATCTTTAACGTGGTAATTATTTCAATCAAGAAAACAGAAAAGCCTATTCAAAATGAGCTAAAAACATATTAGTGAAGTGCAGATAACATGATAATTCCAAGAGACAAATAGAGATGGATGAAGTTGAAGATGATATTCATTTAAGAAGTAACTTTTTGTGAATAAGGAAGGAAATACTCAGATTTGAAAAGACTTTTCTTTACTACAGATTTTACCACTCCACTTCAAATGAAACATTTTGTAGTGATTCTTCAAATGAAGACAAAAGGAAAACTTCAGGTACATTAAGTATGCTGTATGTTACCCTGTTTCGCATATCATGAAAATGCACTAGACAATATATATTTTAAAACAGAATCCAGATCAGTTTGATGACTTAATGTGGGAAATATGCCAAATATATGAGGGTAAAGACATTTTTGCATTATTATTTGGACTTTGTTATTTTAGCCAAACACATCTGTCTCAAACCTTCGTCTCTGCATAATTACAAAATATCGTATGTCCATAGCACAATTTGAAGACAGTGAATCAGCTAACGCCTAACTTTAGCTAAAAAACTGAACAACCTGACAGTCATAGCAGGTAAGCAAAGGTCTATTGACCTTGGCAGAAACATGCAATTCTGTAACAAACTGATATCTACTTTTTCAGTACTGCTGTAATAGCTCTCAGTGCATTGCATTCAAAAAGCCTTTAATGTGAGGCAGAATATTATGCTCCCATGGTAGGGTCCAAAACTGGGATATAAGAAAATACAGAAGTTGTTCAAGGGTGTGAAGGACCTGATTATACCTGTTTTGAGAGATGTTTGAGGTTTTAAGAACCTGTCATCATAATACTAGATAACATTAAATACTAGGCAGCAGTCCTTTCCACAGAAACATCCACCTATCCAAATGATGATCATATTATTGTCCCATTGACTCAAGTGGTTAGCCATAATTCTGGGCTTTGCAGAATGGCTTTCATTTGTATTGCCAATTTCTTATACAAGCCAGATACATTCTGCTGTATTTTTGTTCATACAGAAAAAATGTATATATATGTCCTGGTTCCCTGAATACAATACAAAACAACAACACACAGAAGATCCTAAATAGGACTATACAATAGAAGTCACAATCTTTATTTTAATAAGAAGTAAATAAAGAATAGAAAAAAGATTTTTGGTTGGATCAAAAGTTTTTGGTTGCCTTCCCCTTCCCACCTGCCCCCGAATTGGAGGGCAATTCAATGAAGAAGGGTTTTTTTTCTGGAAAAAAAGAAGTTAAAGTATGTTAATACTTTCTAATATTTTGCTCTTGTTTGTTTGTTTATTTTTCCTCAAATTTGTCTACATTACAAAATGTAGATTAGACACTACATAACACTACAAAACATTGACTGCTACATCTGTAACAACCTGATGTTTAGCTTCCACCACTCCAGAAGAGTTACAAGGCAGCTGAGTTGTGCTGAGATTACGATGAATCTGACCAGAGCTGCAGAAGCTAAAGGAGCTAACACAGCAAATATGTACCAAAGCAGCATTTGTGTGGATCTCTGCAAAGAAAACCACTGAGCTCTGTGCTGGGAATCTATGTTAATTATCTTTGTCAGGCTCCTTGAGTGGGAGGAGGACAAATGAGGTACTCTGCTCACTTTTATAAATGTCATTGGATAGTCACAGTTTCTTAAGATATGAACAACATGATCTGAGAAACTAAAGAAAGATCATTAATTCCTCAGTTCTAGCAGTGATTAACAGATAATCCAAAAGCCACTGAAGTCAGTAGAACAACTGCACAGGTAGTAGCTCAAGCCCAGATGCCTTCTTAACTTAAGGCATGAATTATGTTCATAACTGCTCATGTCAATTTATATGGATGTGAACTTCCCACAAGCAGGGAAAACATTTACCATTAGACCACACAGAAAGATCATGGTTGAAAATATTTTTTAAAAATGTCCACAGATGAAATTTTAATCAGTTTGAGTCTCAGAAAGAAACCACACCAAATGTCTTTTGTAAGAAAACAAAAAACCCTGTCTGCATCATTGTTCATTAGAAATGGAAGTATGTAGCATTTGCAAGCTATTCATGACTGACTTCAGTGTCTTTGACTAATTAAGCCAATGAAAACAGCAGCTTGCTGATGTCTTTTAACACATAAGGATTTGCGTATCATAAAAAAAATTCTGAAATATATGAAAGACTAAACTTGTTCAGAAATCTTCCTTGCCTGGTTCAGCTTAGAACACCCACACATCTTCATCTTATGCTTAGAGAATCATGAAAATAGGATCAAGGTCAGAGCTTAGTGCTTTGAACAAAGAAATACCAGACTCACCAAAAGCAGCAATGAAAAAGTATTGAGATTTAACTTTAAAGTCTTTCCACTCCCTCAATTATGTCAGCTATTAAGCCAGGATTCTTTTTGTCCATGTTTGCGTATAACAAATATAAAGATCATTGCTTATACCTATGAAAATAAGATGTCTTACCTGTGAATTTGATATCAAAGACTCAGCTGCATAGCAAATGCTATACAGAGCAAAAAATCCTCTGAGATGCTAGGAACTCCAGCAGGTATGACAGCAAATTATGGATCTGTACAGAAATTTTTTTTCCTGTTTCATGAAAACTGCCTAAAATTATACACTTCCAAGTCTTCCTAAGAAAAATCAAGATCTTTCAATAATTTTTGTTTGCAAAAGAAAGTGAGAAAGAAAAAATGGTACTCCCACCTAGAAAGTACAACAGGGATTAAATAGATGCAGGTTCAAGTCCTTCTTGCAAATCAGGTAAAGCAAAAACTTGAATGTCAGTGATCCTCATACCATATCACTACGGTATTTGCCAGTTTATTTTGGAGTCCTCCTCACCCTATCTTGGTCTCATTCCTCCTGCTTGGCTCGCTATTTTACAGCAAGTATATACTGGCCAAAATATTCCTGAAAAAAACTCAGTGATATGAGTCACAAATTAGTCTACTTAATCAGAAAACAGGAAAATATGCTATTAAGATGAATGATGCAAAAACGTTGTTTTAACAGGCACTAGATTTCACAGTGTCAGCAGACGTTCCTTTTTGTGATGAAAGCTGGCAAGATTTATTTCCTGAATGTATGCTTACAGCTCTATTATATAAGAAATGAAGGATCAATGTATTACCATGAAACCATTGAGCAATCCTGTTCGTGTTCCTCTCAAACCCAGCACGTCGAGGGATCTGCTCTTCTTTGAACCAGCGAATGATGACATCTCGGGAAAAGGGTCTAGAAGGACGCTCCCAGATGTTACTGCATTGAAAGGCAAGTAATTACAGAAAAGAGTCATACAAAGAATTAGCAGTGTATGAAAGCAAGGGACAATGTAAATATTAATCTCTCTTTTATATATTTACAAAACATGCAGCTACAAAATGGTCAGTGTAGCTGCTGTGCAGTATAGCTCACTGAAAAATTTTAACTTTTTTTTAACTTTGTTAAAACTATTCTGAGTTTTTACAGAAACCAGAGTATTTTGATTTTACATTTGCAATGGAATCTTAAGCATTTTCTTAAGCACAGAACGTATATTGAAAAACAATTTACCACAAAAGCTGCAATGGACATTTCAGTCAGCTTTCCTCTTCCACCTTGTTTTTATTCCAAGGTACATCTTGACAAGCAAAGTTTATTTTTTTGCTTAGAGTATAGTCCTTCTCACTGACAAGAAATTCTAAATCAGAATCAGCTATAATAGATTGTGTATCCAAACCACTGAGCATGATAGAGGGAACGTTTTGTTTAAACTCTTATGTTCCCTTTGCATTCTCTACTTGCCAGACTCCCTTACTGTTTCTACTACTTTCTATGCTTTTAGACTATTTTAGCTAGTAGGAGGCAAATCAGGTAAAATACGTGGAAAATCCATCCAGCTACCCCAAATAAGGACTACGGTATACCATATCAAATCAAAGCATGACTGCATTCCAATTAAGCATACAATATCATTTACCCTGATAACAGTAGTAAAAGGGAGGTTTTACAATGGATTTCTGTACACTTTGAAATCCCATGGGTTTCTGGGTGCTTAAACTGTTAGCACAAATTATAAAATCTTCATAGCTGTTCTTCTTCAGATAAATAGGATGAAGGCTAGTGTGGGTATGTCTACTTGTACTAGAATTTCATTTTCATTTGGTGAGACATACACTCACAGTGCTCAGGACAGTAGCTGGCTACATACTTCTAGCTTTCGTACTCCACCTGCCATGGAGCTGCCAGTTAATGTTGTATATTTCTAGACAATGTAACGGAGAACTACTACTATAATTAGAATGTCAGCTCAGAAGTCACCAAACAGCATTAAACTAATTTGTGAGATAATCAAGCACCCTCAAAACCAATCAAGGTTCTGCAATTCATAACAGCAAAGTGCACTTTAGAAAGGAATAAAAGCAAAAAGATAGATGCTGTCTGCTCGATGATATGCAACTGAGTCCCCCTTTCAGCACGTCTGTTACTAAAACTAGTGATTGATTCTGTTGATATCAAGTGATGAAGCCAGCAGTGAATGTAATAGTTATTGCTAAATTAAACAAACGTGTGTGAGTAGATCTGACCAATATTCATCATAAAATTTGAAGATACAAACATGAGGGGAAAAAGTGATATTCAGTTATAGACACATGTTAAAAAAACCAAACTACATATGTGTTTCTTATTTCTGTTTTTGAATATTTTCAAATATTTAATTGTTTCAATATCAGAAACAAAAAAGCATTTAAGTTCCAGGGCCCTACAATCCATTCTCATTTCTTAACTCATTTCTCTCTAATTCAGTTTATATTTGAAAAACTTGTCAAATCCAGATTTTTTTCTGCCCTGGGCCAAATCTCAAAATTACTGTGTCTGTTTCTATACAGCTACTGTAGTCGAGCTTGTCCTGTAGGGGCAGGAAGAAAGAAATACAACCAAAAAAGTAAAAAAAAAAAACAAAACCAAAACAACACAGTAGGAAAAAGGATAAAAGTGAGTAAGTGTGCCAAAGAGTTTCATTGGGAAGAGAACACTCAGCAAAATAAGAAAGACAGTAGGAAAAAAATTAAATGGAAGCTTTCTAAACTATATAGAAATTATAAGAAAGAGAGATCTCAAGTAAAAATAAAAGAATACTATTTTCATGTGACTTTTGAAAGAAAAGGCAAGGCAAGGTAAAAACTACAGGAGCTATGCTTCATGCTGAAAAACTTAGAGACATAACACTGCACCCACATTCCCTTGAGGCAAAAAATCTGTCTCACACTAGTGGTAAATAACAACATACTGTGCATCTCTTCCTTGACCTCCTAGGTCACTGGCAAAGTAAAATTCTAGATACACATCTGCTCCTGCTTTACCATACCAGTGTTGGGTATGAGAAGTTGAATTATATATATATTTATGTATAATCACTATTAAAGCACATGTTTAAAGCAACTTTCATTTTTTCTTGATAACTTCACAATCAAGTCATGGACAGGCAAAAAGGAGCCTTAAGAGATCAGAAAAATAAATACTGCCTGTTTTTTTGTAGTATAGACATAGCTTAGAAACAGATAAATAGTATTGAAGGTGAGCTGGATAATGATCAGAATATTTTTCAGCTTTTTTTCAGGCCCTTTTTGAAAAGGATCACGTCTAGCACCACCAAATTCTAGCATAAATAACCTCACCTCAGAAGCTCAGAACTTCAGCTCAAATTTATGGACCATCTTTTTCAAAATCTGCCACTTTTATTAGTGTTTTTATTACTTCAATTTGAAGAAGAGTTTAAGTAGTTTGGAAAAATAATGAGAGAATTCCTTTGACAAGTTGATTTGATGGCAACTTTAAAGATCCTGCTCTCTCTGAGAGTGAAAGTCTGATTCCTCCTCAAACTGGGAGTTTTGTCTGCTGTTACGGGAGAGCTTCTGTGTCTCAACACAGTAGAGCAAAGAACTTGTCAAAGCAGAACACATTTCCAAACAATGAGGGACTAATTCTCTCTGGTGCCACACTGACTGGTAAAGAAAAACAATGTAATGGGGCTTTTTCCTTTCTGAGCCTGGATATTGGCTGTTGGGTTTATTATTCTTTTTTAGCATTTAATGCTACTACCCTGCCAGTGCTTACATGGCCTTTATCACCACATGAAACCAAATTAATGGTATAAGAAATAACCAGGAAAATAGTAGAGTGACTACTCAACTTTCTATCACCCATCTGCCAGTTTGGATTCTTTTCCTCTTCTACAATTCATGGCACTCCCTAAATAATCAGATGAAAGATTAATAAACACCAAAGACACTTGATTTTGCCTGAAAATAAAACATAAAACCCCTGAAACTTAGGAGTATGACAGCTCTCTGTAAAATGTTTCAAACGGCTGTTATGCAGCAGGCAGTTTTAAGCTTGAGGCTTAAGACTTGCCTAAGAATTTGTCTGTTTGATTTCTCCATATCACAGCCTTGCATAGTAATCTAATATTGACTTTTGAAGGACCCATCTCTCTCTCTGTGAACTCTAAGAAATCTGTCTGAAAAATAAATGGCATTTAGTTTATATTAAGTATTCAATCTGTTTTCATTTTTCTTTAAACATTCTTTTTCTGGTCGTCATGAAAGAGCAAGACTGAGAATCTCCAGCAACTGAAGAGGTTGTTGAAACGGTCGGGATTGGAAAGGGAGCAATTCAACAGAAAACTATTTCAAAGTCACTCCTGTACAAACCAACCTGGATGCTGCAGAGAGAGACAGCAAAGGACTTGCACTATTGTTGTTCAGTTTTATCTCCTGATAGTTATTCAGGCTTGTCCCCTGGAACAAATTACTCAGGCCAGCCACTCTTCCCTTCTGGATGGCACGCAAGGATTGTCGTCGGTATTCATCCCGGGCCCTGCGTGCTTTGTGGCTCCTTTCCTCATCTGCAGCTTTGGAGCGGCGCACTGGGTGGAATGAATGGGAAGGGTGGGGAGGAGAGACTTTAGAAATACAAACAGCCATTTACCCCCTTCCTTATACAACAACTTACTATCTTTATTCCTTATATGACCCGATTTTAAGAACGTATAAATGACAACGCACTATCAAAGAGATAGCTAACTGGATGGCTTCCCTGGTGCTTCAAATACAGGCCCAGCACTAGATGACATGTGCCAGACTTGAGCTATCAATGAATCGATCACTGGCAATAACTGAGCCTCTACATACTGCGATTACATCTGAAACTTGCTTTGGCTGTAATAAGAGAAATTCTGCTTGAGGACATCTTTTCCACTGGCAGTGCACCAAGTTTTATGTTTCAAGAGGGAATGTTAACTACTGCTTAAAATTAAGTCTGTGTTTAACAGAATTCTCTGCAACTATGCACATAACTAGAACTGCAGGAGCTACTCCCGAAACTTACAATTATAAAAACTAACATGTAGGTCACACTTTTTGTTGCTAATGTTGCTTTCTTTCTGAAAGGCAGATGCTATCTTTGTTGTGGTACTTAAAATCACACAAGTCTCCATCTTGAAAATTGCAGTCTAAAAATGGTTCCAGTAACAATGGAGAACTTAGCAGCCATTGGAAAGGGCATGCTGATGCTATGGACGGGGTTGTCTCACACATGAGTCTCTGAAATTGCATATAAAGAACCAGAATCTGTACTGGAAAATTTAATACATACCTATCAATGGCACTGACCAAGGAGTTACATATTTCCATAACCTGAAATGAGACTGCTCCTCTGGCCACTGCAGGTCAGGCATCTTTCACTAAAGCTTCTTCATTTTAAAACTAATGTACTAACAATCCTGTCTTCAAAATGGTATAACTTAAATGCACCAAGAATTGTACTGCAAATATTCATAATCTATCAGCTCTTTTCTGGTGCCTCAAGCCCCATTTTGACGATTTTTCTGAGACACAAATAACTTCAGGCAGGCAAATTATTCCAGTGCAAAACAAACCTTTAACATCCAGTGAAGCAAATATTAAAGAAGCAAGCTATTGCCTCCAGTAGCAATTATCAATCCTGCCATGACTATCTTGGCTTAGATCATACTCAATTCATAAAGTGCACACATTTCTTACTCTACTGTGATCGTACCTGTGACTACAAATGCATGATACAAAACCAGACAGCTGCATTTTATTAAGTTGTTTTCATGCCACTGGTTTACACTCCTGATTTAAAGTAAGCAGAGGTATAAATGGATTCGTCCAAATTATGAAAAAGTTTAATGAAATTAAGAAATAAAAGCACTCAAAGCAAAATGAAATGAAATAAAACCCTCTGGGCAAATAAGGGAAAGAGAAAAGACCTTTAAGTTTAGAGTTATATAATATTATCGTAAGTAGAAAGATATACAGGACTAAAAGCTCATTAAGACAGCGTAAAAAAACAAGTCATAGATGCTTCATATGTATACAACTGGCAGGAATTCGGTTTCATTTAACTACATACCCTGCAGTTTTAGCTAAATGCAGTAACAAACAACTGTACAGCACAGATAATGTGAGTAACATGTTTTACTATTATCCTCCAGGTAATTTTTAAGCATGATAATGTCATCTAAATATACTGTTTCAATGGGTCAAGTATATTAGTTACAAAAATTCTGTGATTTGTCCTTTGTAAAGCCACTCAGGAACGGCTGCTTCAAATATGGACTTTGTGCTTGCAACAACTCAAGAGACAGCAAGGAAGATGAGTGTAATGCAGCTTGGTAAGACATTTAGAAACCAGTCACTGTTTGTCACAATCACAGTATACATATCGAGGGCAGAATGTCTGGAGCTTTCTGGGATTCTTTTCTACTGATGTACAGGCTGCCTGGTAATGAAAAAAGGCAAGGTATCTTCATGCCCCACTTTCCTCAGCAATAGATAAGTCTTTTCAACAGACACTGCTACTGTATTTGTGCTAGCTAATAAATCTATACCATTAGAAGCCAGTGACGTGGATCACATTTTCCCAACCTGTACCAAATTTTAATATTTCTTACCACAAAACAATGGTGAGAGGTAGCATAGTTTGCAACTGTCAAATATTAACATTCAGAAAACTTTCTGAAAGGCTGTATGACATGAAGCCTTCCCTATCCATCCACATATATGTATATATGTTTACATATTTGTATATATCCATAGATGTGTATATGTGTCTGTATATATGTCGGGATAGGGAAGGCTGCATGCCAGAGATGCCTAAATGCATGCATATAAATTTTATATATATATACATATGCAGGCATCTCTTTCACATTGTGAAGAATTTTTATTGAAATTTCCCAACTGAGGTATCTGAAGAATTGTATCATTGACCATAGGGACGCATAGGGTCTCTTAACCTTTTTTTTTTTTTTGTTACTGGAGTCCTGATTTTCTCCCTGTCCCATTCCTTATAATTATTCCCAGAAACCTTCTTCTCTTTCCTCACATTCCTCTATCTTTAGGAATTCCCTAGTACAGCTCCTACTGTGGATCTGTGGTGCTATGTTACGCCAAGTTGCTTTTAAAACTGTCTGACTGGTCAAGGGATTTTGTATCAGACAAATAACCAAAGTCACTGGCACCAATAACTGGTTTTGGTGACTGGAAAGAGTATTGTGGATAAAGACTCATTCAGCCATTGTGGTCAGGAATGTACAAAGTTTTCCCTTTACACTCCAGACAAGATGATGTGTGTCACATGAACTGTCCTCCCTTACCGATACCTCCTACAAATTTATATATCCTGGGAAAGTCACTCAAAGTCTGAAGGTAAATCTGGACATATTTCTGCAGCAAGTTTTTCTTACAATAGGATTTAATTAATATTTCTCTCTGACTCTGAACTATGTCCCTAGAAATAAGAACTTTATATCTGGATCAAGTGTAGCACAAATATTCTGAGATCAAAGAAGCCACAAATTCTGCATTACTTGTATTTCAGGACACATCATAGCCTTCCTCACGATAAGAGAGCAAAAGTAGTCAGGACTTCTAGTACTGTCTTAAGCAGGAACAGATTACTTTTCTTGACTGGCTACCCTTTTACAGTAAATGTACTTCTGGCATGACCCCTGTGCAAAGCATTAAATTCAATAATCAGTGTTTTCCATAGGGAGACTAGATATCTGAATAATGTCTTCCATCCTTAAAAATCATCACCATAGGTCCATATACCTAGCATCAAGAATTACTACAAATAATAATTCACATTTTCTTCATCTTCCTTTCATATTACAGAATAATGTCAGGACTGACAAGTCTGGGAAATGAGGAATTTGATTGATTCGTCAAGCTTGCAGGAAATCTACAGTTCAACCAGTTCCCATGAAGTCCATCTCCACTACTAGTATTCTCTTCAGGTGTTGGTGATCATAACAACATGTACATCCTCCTTCAGCACTTGTAAAATTAAGCACACTTCTGCCCTGATGGCACTGTAACTTGTGTAGAAATGCCTGAGCTGTTTATATAGGTTAGGTGCCAATGTGACTGTGGCTGCAGGCCAAAAATGGGCTACCAAACCCTCCTGGAAAAATGGTAAAAATATCCAGACTGAGGTCTGTGCTGTCATGATTACACAGTTATCATTACTAGAAATAAATAGTTTAAAGCCAGCTTGGACATGTGTACATGACCTGCAGTGTGAACATACTCTAACAACAAAGAAGAAACCACAAAGCTCATGTATGCAATAGCTCTTATGATCCTCTAGGTCTTAATTTGAGTTTGCCTTGTTTACCTTGAACAGTTTACAAGAACCTGTTATTCCTCTATGCTAACCTAAGTTGTCTTTTGAGTGACAATACAAGATTGCCTTTTATATTTTCACTTAGGATTGGGAAATCCCTATTAGCAGTCCTGGTAAAGTTCTAATACCAAATCTTTTGATACAGATGAGGATTAATTCATGATGTGCTGCAACTGAACGTGATCACATCATTTGTGAAAGACTAGGAACTCTCCATTTTGTATAATCTGTTTTGTGCTTTTGAAGAGCTGTGAGTTACAGTCAGAGCTATGTGAAAGCAGAAAAAAAAACATGTGCCATGAATATGCATCCTCATTTTTAAATTATTTTGTTTCAGCTTTACGCTTGTTAATAATTCTTGGAAGCTTGTTTATGAGCAATTCAAAATGACTACTTAATAGATAAAATTCAATCTTCAAATTTTCTGAGTGCACATACAAATCACACGGTGTTTTTTCATTTCCTAATTGGAAAATAATTTCCCACAAATACTCTGCAATATGGCTCCAGTTCAGCAATCTTCTTATCTGAAAGCATGTGAATAATGCCATCCCTATTCAACAACACACTCTGAGACCTATTGAAGTTCAGTGATCACATACTTAAGGTTGAGCACTTGCTTAGCTAATGCATAGCCAAACTGGGGATTACTCACTTTAAAATCCAGCATTTTATCAAATGTTCCTGCCAATAAACTCACTCACTTGAATTTCTGTGGAAGATAAGTACCAAATGAACATAAATTCCTTTAAAATCCAGACAAAAATAAATTCATAGACAAAGTTTGTAGAAGATAAAAATTTAGCAATATAAAAGAAGCTATAATGAGTCAGCCTGGTATCCTACTTCCAACAGAGACCAAAAGTGGGTGCTTAGGGAAAGGCATAAGAATAGATCTGGTCACTCGACTCTGTTTACATTTTTACTGGTGTCTGAGCACTTCACTGCTTGATGCAGTTTGCAGGGGTTCGTAAGTGTACTAACAGAATGCCTTTTGCAATATTCAATCAGACGAATATTTATGCTACAGTTTTTCCTACTATCTTTTGCAGATTCCTTTTCTGCTCTCACAGAGAGAGGTCACACTTAGAGACTGTGATATAGGGTATTGTTTATTGAATACTCTAGAAACCTAACAAAATGGAACAGCCCATAGAAAGGTCCAAAACTAAACAGAATATATACACTCCTCTATTCAAGCTTAGCCTTAGTTCTCACTTCTCAGTTTCAAAGAGTAAGAGCTTTGAACAGTGGACTCTTAATCAGTCTTTCCACTATTCATCTTCTCATTTGCCAACCAATATACTTGCTCCACATATTAACTCACAACTAACTGTCCTCTAAAATACCCCGACATATATCCTTTATATGAAATCAAAGCATATAATTGCTCTTAAAACACCATTTTTTTTCTTTTAGTACTGATTTCTCAAGTTATTCTACATTCTTCATTTAGTATATTAAAAATCACCAAAACGATGTATTTCAATTAACACAGTGGTTATATGGGCTTTTATTGTTATTTGGCACAATCAGGCAAACAGCAGAAGCAAACTGAACCGAACAACAGAAACTAATATTAGCAACACTTCGTTTATTGCCTTGGCAATAAACAGCTGAGGGATAATGTGATGAGAAGAGATGAATTCTCATCACATTCTAAATTCCATCTACTAAATAAATTAGTAGTGTCATCAATATCATTGCTCAATTTGCTCTCCACAATAGCTGCTCTAGCACTGCTGCTCCTCTTCAGTACTGACCCCCCAGCACTGCTGAATATGGAGGGCTGACTTCAAGGAGGTAAGACACAAAGGAGCCTGGCCTTGTTCCTAATGGGCAATATGGTTTCCATTGCAGGTGTGTAGAGACAAAAGATGTTAATATTACATCTGCTTGTGATTCTTTTATGGGCTCATGCATTTATTTATTGGTTAGAAAAGATGACAAGTGGATACCTTTGCCTAACTGGACTAAATTTCCTCTCGGTGTCCCAAAGGAATATTTGAAGACAAAATTAAAGGATTACCATAAAAAGGAACCTGGAACTGAAATCCAAAGTGAAAAATCTGGTGAACCTGAGCTACTAGTTCATTCCATAGCAATTTCAGGTGTTCCCACTTCCAAAGTTTCATTATTGCCTGTCTGCTGGAGGTTCTGGCTTCTGCAGCAAAGTTAAGGAAACGGAAGATGTTAACATTCCTCAGGAAGCTCAAATGCAAAGTCTGATGGCATAGTCTAAACCAGCCAGGAACTGGTTTCAGATAAGGCACTAAACACTGCATCTTCATATCTTAAGTTGTCACACTCATTTGCTAATGGAACACAGTTCTAAGCCCTCAAACCAACTGGGATAAATTGAGACACTGAGATAAGCATAAGAGGATAAACAAGGATGTGATACACTCTAGTCATTAGTCTGCAGTTAGTTTAATGCTAAATCAATTACTGATAACAACATAAACTCTGGCAGCACAGAATTTATAGTATGCTGCAAAACCCAGCTGTGGTGCCGCCAGCTAGAAGGTGCTGAGCTTTTCTTTTGCCCGTGCAGCACTATTACTGGTGACCAGGCTGGATAGCTTGAAATCCTGTGAGCTGCAGTCAGTCACCCTTTTGACCACAAGCAAACAGGTCTATAGGTATTGAGGGACACAGACTGGAGGCGACAGAGTTCCTTCAGAGCATACAGAACACTCCAAAGGTTACACAAGAAAAAATACTTGTGGTAGATTATATCTATCAGCATATGATGCAGTTGAAAGTGTTTTGACAGACCAAGAATGCCATTACAGAAATCATAGTCAAAACCTTTCATAGCTTATTCTTTTCCTCTCTGCCTTCTCCCACAATTCCTCTATTGCATTTCTAGTATCTGTCCCTGAACAACCAGCATTCCTTGAGAAAACTGAGACAACAATTTAAAACCTCAGTTACCTCTTTAATGCAATAGTAAGAAAATGATTGCTGGTTTTAGTAATGTTTATAGTATTTTGTTTTATTGCCATTTTCAGTGTAAAGATAGGCTGTATTTTTTTTTTTTTAATAATGTGGTTGCAGATATATTTTCTTTCTTTATCTATCATCAAAGAAATGCTAAAGTACATAATACCATCCTCTCTGCTAGGTTACCAGCTGATGCTAATTGACGATGCCTCATTTTCTACAAAACTAAAGGGCTTTTTTTTCCCTAACTCGTTCTGCTCTTAAACACCCAAAATACAGAAAGCTAGTTTTCCTTTCTGAATAAACACATACACCAGGATTTAGATAATTCTCCAGAAAATAATTACCTTCTCTTTATTGACAGTGTAATATACAGCAGTTTTATTGGTCAAAAATGAGCATAGCCTGCTATGAGCTTGGAAAATGGCACCAGTGTATCTTATACAGATTTAATTCATGTTGTACAGAATGATTCACTATCACATCAATTCCAGGTAATAGGACTTCAGTAATTAGTCTTCAGGAACTCCTGAAGTGATGACTAAAACCATAAACCAAACTCATTGCATATTTTGAAACATTTTTTCTACTTCTGTCAGGAAATAAGTAACACTAGAGCAATTTTTTTTTCCTACTTCATGAGGTATTTCATGTAACACATACTGACTATCAGCTCCCTAAAACTCCATTTCTAGTATCAGTTGATGAACCATTGTGTCATATATAATTAATACAATAACCCCACATGAGCTAAAACTTTCCAATCATTACATTTCCTTTTTCTGCAGAGTAATCAGATCAGTATAGATGTGGGAAGCAAAAAATATTCTTCCCCCAACAAAAATGCACAATTCTTATTGCAAACAAATTTCCTACTTCTAAAGCCAACTATACAATAGGCTCCAGATGGAGGAGACGTACATTTTATTCACAATAACCTATTAAGTCTTATTTACTCGTAATGTGGAAGTTTACTCACCTACAGTATGTGTGTATACATATATATAGTAATATATTTGTTCTGTTCCTTATAGGCTTTTAAAAATCACTAATTTTTTTTTTAAATTAATCCCAATGATGATATTAATAAAGAATTTCAGGGTGGCTAAAAAGGAAGAGCACCTCCATAGAGGGAGATCATCATCATATGGATTTTTTTCAGGGCAACAATCTAAGTATTATTTACTGTAATCTTTTGAAATTAAGTGAGTTTCAGTGCTGCTACCATAGCTTGACCCCATCACCATATGGAAGTAATTAAAATACAGATGAAGACAGATTTTACCTCTTCAGAGATAGCTGAGGACAAGCGGTTGAAATAACTGTGTCCAGAATTATTATTACTAAGCCAAAACTGTTAATTAATTACATTAGACAAAAATTAATTATCTCAGTCATTGTACACAAAAAATTTTCTATAAGGCATTGACATGGATTCTTACTCAGAAAGAAATGTGAAATTGGTAAACTCACAGTAACTTCTTTTTGTAAGGTCGAGCTGGTAAATTCCTGCAAAATAACATAGCATTTAGTATTGCTCTAGGTAGAAGAGATTTTTGGCAACTCCTTTTTCCATTCTACAGGTCTCTTTTTATTTGCTTTTAGAAATACATTAATCCTGTGAAGGTAATTTTACTCACACTGTTCTTCCCACTCCTGGTCATCGTCACTGTGTTGACTATGCTGCTGAGCTTGCTTGAGGCTCAGATACAACTCTTTTGCTCGGATTTCTTCCTGCTGCCTTATTTGTTCTTCGCCCTTTTGTCTCTCCTCTTCTTCTCTTTTCTAGGCAAAATGAAGTAAAACAGAGGTGACTAAGGAGGAAGAACGTGCCAAAAGTTAGGACACTGCTTCAGTTGCTTCCTCCCACAGAGTAGCTATGTTACCTTGGACAAATCACTGTCTCTTCCAACTTTGGGTTTCTCACCTATCATAACAGGCATAACAGAAGTTTCCTACCTCTTAGGAATTTCTGAGGGAGGTATGTTTTGAGCTGCACAGGTATCACAGGAATAAGGAACATGTAAGTATCTAAGACCTGAAATCCATACGGAAAACATTTTTTATCACATGGCACCAAAGCCTGTGCTATCCTGCAATCCATAAGCAATGCTCATTTTAAGTCCACACGTACTTCCATCAGAGTTATCACTGTCACTCAAGCAGTATACACATCATCTACAGAATCTGTAGAATTCAGTAACCGATTTACTGGTGTTCTTAGTTTAGCAACTGTCACCATGTGTCATCATAACTAACACAGAGAATAATATTTTCCAAATATCAAGATCATTACATTCTAGAAGAAAAGGCAGATCCTTCAGCACACACTAGTCACTTTGCAAAATGTAGCTACAAGTAACATACAAAAAAGTTCCCTTCCAAGGAGACCTTAAAGGACATGGAAAGCTGATAAAGATTGCCTCTACAGCTGGCCTTCCACATACTATCAATAACATAAGAGCTTAATTAGTGCAGAAATAGGAGTCCATACCTGTATTCTCATAAATCTTCCCAATTTCCTTAGGTAGCAAAGAAGCAGATTTAATTCATTGTTCAATGGAACCCCCCCAAAAAACCAAAACTGAACTTCATGAAATGTTATTCATATTATTGAAATAACTTGAATTATGAATAAGAACAGTCTTTAATTTTGTAACAGAACGCTATACCCTTTTGGGTAACAAACTTATGGATAAGAATTTTGTTATAAGTCACTGAATAAAATCACCCTGAATTACTAACCTAGTTACCTAACCTAAACTATAAATAAGGTAAGCCCAAAGTAGATTGTGACTTGTTGCAAAATGTTAACCCTATCAGATTCCTAGGGTGAAACAACTGACATCCAGTTAAATAAAATCTGGTGGAACATTGCTTTTTACATTAGGAGGTTTGGGGGAGATCTTTGGGTCTTCCTTAAATAACTTTTGTTTACTAAAGGTCAGAAGTGGTATTTCATAAGATCTTTGCATTTTCCTAACTTTGCTCCCTTTCAGTGGGATTTTAATGTTTCATTACAATGGGACCAGCAAGAGTTGAGCACAGGAAAAAAAAACAACAAACAAAACCCCAAGCTTATTTTAAATTGGAAAACAGTTTTCTTAAATGCACTAACACATTCTATCAATCAGCTGAGCTGACATATTTGAGCAAATGTTTCTTAACTACAGACTTTGTACCGGTAATTTCTTTTTTTTCTTAAGACATGGTATGATGTAAATTCTGAAAATTATGTTCAGATGGGAATGCTCCTGCTTTCAAAGGGGAATCACACATATTTAGCTTCCTTTTTATTATATCATATTTGTGCACTGTGAACTTTATGGAAGGGCATATTTACTAAGTTTGAAAACAAACTTTCATCTCAGCAAGATTCACAGCATGACCAAAACAATCCATGGTCTCTTTTAGTAAGTACTACAAATATGAGTAGAGAGATTTAAAAAAAGGGGCCAAACTCTGACTTCTGTTATTCTCTAAACATAGTCTGTGGGTTCAGGAGACGCAAAACTGAGCTTTCATGATGTTGCTCATAAACCTGCAAAAAGTAACTTGTATGTCTTTTTTTTTTTAACACATAGGTTCTTACTGTTCAGTGTTTGAAGATACTACTTCTATGAAAGTTCACACTATGTATATACGTTCATTATAATTCAGCCTCTTTTTAGGCTGAAAGGGGCTGAACTATCCAAAAGCTATATTAATTCAGTAAAGTATATATTAATTGATTAACACTTCCCCTACAGTAAATAGTTTGTATTTTATAATACATTGCAAAAATACTCATTTGAAGGTTTTCTGTCCTATCTTAATACCTGCCAGGGCACAAGTACCAAAAGCAACCTGAGTACAGTAATATGAATGTCCAAACAATGTTGTTGTTTAATGCCCCTAAGAGGGACTCATGCATTTTTTCCCAATGGTGAAACATGTGTCTGGAATATCTATCTGGGAAACAGAAGAAAACTTTTGTCCACCATGGGGAAGGAAAGGCACTTTTTTCTCTCCTCCCCTCTCCCCAGTTCTCTCTAGTTCTGCAGAAGTTATCTGTTGTTAACCAGACATCTAGAATTAAAGAAAGGTAACTCCAATTCTTTTCAGAAGACAGCTTTCCAAAGCAAACAATATTGCTGTTTGCAATCTCTAGAAGCTCAGTGAGGGCCAGAAGCAGCAGAAGAAATCAAGACTGTTTGGTTGTTCTGATCATGGATCACACAATGGCACGTTTAAGGAAGAATGACAGAAAGACTGAAGAGCAGTAAGCATTTTAGCAGTGACGAGCAACACCATCTTCAGAGTGGGAAAACGGAACAAATGCAAATCTCCATCCTTTGAAAGAATTCAACCACTTTTCCAATTCAACCACTTTTCCATTTCCCTAAGTAACATAAATCAGCATTTCTTGATTTAGCACAGCTGAACTCCACCGGCTTACACCAGCAGAGGATCTGTCTTCTTGATAATACAACAAATCAAAACACCTGAAATATTGGGTATTAATAGTGATGCACCTGTGTAGTGAATAATAGTTCCATAACACACATGATGAACAATACATCAGGCTGCTCTTATTTCTGAGAAAGAAAAGCATAGTATTTTTCTTCAGTCAATTTTAATGCTAGTATCTTTGATTATTTCTAACATCATCCTCCCATTGTTAACTCCCGAGTCCTAAAAAGATTAGTTGAGTGGACAGTTCATTATTTTTGAAAAGTCAGTGCTTTTAGGAAGTACTCACTTCAAAGCCCAGCAGCTTCTTCAGAATAAAAAAAAAAATAAATTAAAAATTAAACTATCTTGTTAAATACCCCGTAGAATTAGGGATTCCATATTTCAGTTGCTAGCAAATGGCTTTATTCCTTTCTTGGAAAAAGTATGCAATCGGCTATTCTTTACTCTTATGAGGAGAATATTTATTCCTTTAGCTTCACTACCTAAAAAAATCCAGTACCTCTAGGCTATCTTTTCAGGAAGATGGAGAGACACAGGGGTAATCCTGGGTTATCAAAATGTTTTCTATTCAACATCTCAAACCACAAGGTTTAATGGGGGGCGGGCAATCAAACTCACAGCAGTTTCCCTGAATCACACAAGAGTTTTATCACAAGTTTGGGGTTTTAAAATGTAACTATTGCTGAAGCATTTGTAGTAAATTGGTGAAAGCATCTAAAGAAAAAAAAAAAATGAAACTAGAATTCAGGTAGACTTTGAGTTCTTAATCAAAACCAGCAATACCTACTAAGAAAACTCTACCTTTTTTTTGTTGTTGTTTTTGTGAGAAGGAGGAGATTTAAGTCAAAGAAGAGACAACAACTACAAAAAAAACCTTAATGCTGGCACTTGATTCTGAATTCACAAAACTTTTTTATATGATTTTCCTTTTTAAAGGAAGAAAAATTTTAAATTCCCTTTACTTAAATTAGCACATGGATACATGTGCAAGTATATTGTACAACTCCTTAAAGGTATGTGTGAGGAAAAACAACCCCTGTTAGTATGACACAGGAAAGAAAAGTCATCCTTTTGGCAAGTATGAGTAAAAAGTATATGTTTGTATTTAAAATGAGCAGCAACTGAACTTCTCACATTTACTCCAGTGGAAGAATACAGCAACCAGTTTATCTGCTTCTCCCCATGAACCCAATCCTGCACATCAGAGCTAATGGCCCTGAAGAGCTATAATAACCTACAAACATCACCTTCTGCCTGACAGTTGAGAGAGATTGTACTGTGTGCCGTGACCCTTTCAGCTCTTCCAGAATAATTAGGAAGGTGACAATTCAGTACGTAGCTGCAAATTGCCAAGAAAAACCAACCTGCTGCAACAAATCACACTGGCAATTCAATAGGCAGCAGTAATCCTCTCCAGCTTTAACTCCACTGGAGAATTTGAACATGCTAAATAATCTTATCTAGCCTCCGGCAGTTGACCATTTACCACTTGTTACTTGTTACTTGTTACTGTAAACGTGTGTCTCACAATGTTTGATAGCTTTACTACAGCCAGCTCTAAATAATATTTAATATTAGCCATAGTTAGCTTCTGATGTTTCAGTCCAGTGCAGATGAGAGGAGATTAGGTCAGCATTTAGTTTTTGCTCCAGAAAGATTTAAAAAATACACTGAGGAAAAGCCAAAATACAGCAGTTGATTTTTTTACAATGGAAAACGGAGCTCTGGCTGCCATGGCTCTTGGGGTCTCTCTGGGGAGTCTTGCGGGACGCAGGGCAGCTGAATGACTGACTGCCATCCTGGAATGACTGACTGCCATCCTGGGATGACTGCCACCCTGCTCAGGGCAAAACCTACAAGACGTATTTGTTACAGCAGTCCTCTCCAAAGCAAAGGATGCCTGGGATTCCCTCAGTGCTTCAGGCAGGTGGGAAGTGTCTTTGGCAGCCCTGAGAGCTGCAGCTAGTTGGCTGCATTACAGCTGCTGTGAATCTCCTGAGACCCCTCAGCAATCACCCCTGAGCCACGGCAGACACTCAGGCTACCTGCCACAGAGCTGAGAGCACAGCTCCTCTTCAGACCTGAGCCCGCAGGACTCCCTGCTCTGAGGAAGGGAATCTGGAAGTCCCAGGGTCCCTAGCTCCAGGACAGCCTGCTCTCAGCAAGGCTGATGCAGCAAGGCTGAATTCAGAGATCGGAGTTCTCCACAAACCCACCTGACAGTTTCTCACAGGGCTGTGAGTAAGTATCAGCAGAAATACGTCCAACTCCTTCCCAACATTTTCTGAGAAAATTCTCTCACTTGCCGCAGAAAAGAAATTGTTTGCAGAGGCATTATTTTCTTCTCTACTACCAGCGTCTCAAAAGGAACACTGGGTTTGCATCACTTCACTGTGCATGTATTTGTATGAAATGCAGTCATGCTTTAGGCAGAAGAAGTTAGTTACGTTTCAGGCATGGATATGCCCCAGGACATGCTATTCAGACACGGCTCATACAGGGAGGTAACAACATACTCTGATTCACAAAGATCCTCTTTTAGATGAGACAGAAAACAAAGCTAAGGACCATTCCTGATTGGGAGAGATCTGAGATTTATTGCACATGCTGGAGCAGACTCTGCTTGGGTAACTTGCCATAGATCCAAGCTGCCATAGATAAAAGTTTGTCTCTGGATCTTAGGGACTCTTCATAGCTTGAATTCCTGATATGTAAACTATCCTCATTAGTGGCTCCGATCTTCCCATTTACCCATGGAAAATATCAGAGCTTTGCTAGTTTTCACTAGCGATCCAGAATAAAGACAGTGGCTGCAGCAGCACAATCATTACTGATGTCACCGGGGAAAAGATTTTTCTTTAGAATTAATATCACAGTTCCTCACAAGTAGGATAGAAAAACCTGAGGACCTGATTCCCAGCAGAAACTAACAGCTGACTCATTTCCAACATTGTTTAAGAGACAACTGCATAGAAAAAACCAATTTCTGAACTATGGTCACACAAAAGAAAACAAAATGAAGTATTACTGAATTACTGTAATTGCAGTTGAATGAACCCAACAGAGGCATTTTCAGTATGAACTGGGTGCCAAACCCCAGCAAGACGCTGTTGTCATATTCCTGGATTCTAAATATGCTGTCCTTGGGAAAGAGTTCAGTGTTTTCTTGGCACAGCAAAGCACAGAGTTGAACTTACAGCTTATTTGCACTTAAAGATAACAGGCCTACTCAGAAGTGCTTGATGCTTACTTGGAGACAAGATTTTTTTTCAGATCAGGACAGAATGCTCACTGCTATATCGTAAGAAGCCCATAGTACTGTAAGTGGTGATGGTAACATTTTACTGTATTCCTAAACTCTAGACTGGCAGCAATTGTCTGAAGAATCAGGTCCACAGCACTTTTGAGCACAGTAAAGCACTCAGATATGCATTGAAAGCCCATCCAAGTACACAGGACTGAAGTCCTGAACTGAAGCACTAATTATTCTGTTCATCTCTGAAGGTTGATTCTAAACCTGTCTTCTTTGATGAGACTGGAAACAGCCAGGACATAGAAACTCTTGGATCCACACCTTAAAAAAGCTCACTTCACTCATCACAATCCCAACTGGAATTAAAGGTCATGAACTTGCATTAAAAAAAAAAAATTGTGAAAGGAATTATAATGCACTGTTACTCTCTTGTTGCTTATCAAGAGAATAAGGATTATTTCTCCTTAAGTGCCACTCTCATTAAAACTCCTACTAAATATTTTTTGATGCATGAAGAAAAACAATGCCCATAAAAGTTTATACGCAGCTTTTGGTTAACACACATTTCATCTCCCAAGGAATTTTTAAGCAGCAATCCAGCTTTACTGTCAACTGTGCTTATAGTACTAAATTTGGCAGGTATCTGCTGTTGTCATATACACAGTACTTTGCTATTAATATTCTCTTGCTTTATGTAGACAACATGAAGAGAGAGACAGCTGAGAGAGTATCTCTGTTACTTCTAAATGCAGCTGAAGGATAACACCCGCCCCTGGCTGGCTGACACTTATACCTTTAATTTGCCCTAGCTCTGCACATTGTTCAAGACTTTTAGTGACAGCAACTGATAACAGTAGGAAATTATGCCTATGATCTCATAGCCTTTCTGAATTAGCAAAAAGATTAATGATAGTAATTGGCTCTCTTATTTGTCCTTTGCAATAGGTGCATAAAAGAATAGCTGTCCTTAAACTGCATAAATAGAGCAGTCAACATTTATATTCTAGCACCATAAATTAAAGGCATTTCTGCTTAAGAAACACCAAGGAAAGCAGCACTTTTCTAATAGTGTTGGAAAAGGAAACAGAGATCATCATTCACTTTGATATGTGAGATACCATTTATCTAGTGCAGACAGCCCTAAAGTCCCATGATAGGTCAAGAGGAATAAAAGCATTTTAAAAAGGAGTGTTTGTGATACAATCTAGTTAGAAATTAAACACATCAGCAGAAACGACAGCGTTTCAATCTCCCAAGTCAAAATGCCTGAAGAGGATGAAGTATTAGCAAAGACTGAACTTTTCGTACCCCAGTCTGGAGACCACTTTAAATACGGTCTCGTCGTCATCACAGAAGGATGATTACCTACGCATTAAATATTTTAAACCTGTTAAAGGGGGCTTGCTAACTGATCTGCATTTCATTCCACACCCTGAATCATTTACAAAAGGTACATTTCTTCATGATTTCAATGATCGCAGTCACACATGAGTAGATTCATTAATTCATCTTTTTCCCAACATGTTAGTTCTATTCATCTTTTGTAGTTGGAGGGAGATGCCAGAAACATAATTTTCCTATTTTCCTGTCTAGGTACTTTTCCACTCATTCAACTTGTAAATATTTCATGTACTTCATGTACATGACAGAGAGGTTAACAACTCCCCCATATTAGCTTGTGAGATTGACTTGTCTTTGAAACGCCTTTACTGTTTTTAAGTAGTTCTACAGCACTATATACAAGATCTGCTCTTTCAAGACCAAGTAATAGATAAGATGCTTTTCTGAGCAGCAAAGGTGTGGTATTATAGTACCAGGGATCAATCCTGCATTTGGATCTCTGCTGGTGGAACCCTATGTTAGTCCAAGTCCCTCCTAACAGATCTCAAATTATAGACCTAATTGAAGACCCAGGGCTGGAAGTTTAATTAGCCTATGTTGTTGTATTCATACAGCAAACACTGAGAGCACACTCAATGAAGGGGCATTTAAAAAATAATCACTGCATAATATCTTGTTTCCAAACTCATTTTTGAAGCCAAAGAGTTCATTTCTGCTGGGTCTTGTCTTAAAAATTTTGGTCCATTTCTTAAATTTTTACAAATATTCTCTTCAAATGCTTGATTTAAAGGATCCTGTTTCTTTGATTAAAATAAAGATATCGGCAACTTTATGAATAGGGCTAAAGAAATCCTGGCCAAAAGTTAGTACTTGAAATTCAAAGTAGAAACTGAATCAAATTCTCATCTCATCAGTGCAATTCTTGCTCCTACCAGGCACACAGCTGGGTGGAGGATACCTGCTCACTTCCCAAGAAACAGTGGGAACACAGATCACTGTGACATTACCTTTCCATCAATATGAAAATGAGCGGAATTTGGTGCCATTCCTTTTAAATTGTATCAGTAACTGAAAGACTACTTTTCCATAACAGAAAATTATGACTGCTGGCCACTGAAGTCTCACAAGTTGCTCACTCTGCTTTTTGAAAAAGTTTCTTTGAAACAGAATAACAGTGAGCTTGTGGACATTTACCCCATCAAGTGCACTGTACATCAACCACAGAGATGTAAGTGAACACGCCTGTATCAGTCTTTGTTCAAGAGGGCTTTGCTTTCTGGAAAGCAGAGGAAAGAGCATTTAATTAGTTGCTCTGCTCATTATTCGTACATTAATAAAGCACTTGAAAGGTATAATTTCATTACTCATTGACATCAAATTTCAAAGGCCCTGTTCTCTCCTATGAATTCAAATTAATTGTGCAAAGGTAAATCCGCAGCGTTGTGCAGAGGAGGCTACAGGAACCACCCTTGCTTTGTGCTGCACAACCAGCCTCAAATCCCAGGCCCGCAGTTTATAGAATGACAAGTAACTTGCTGACTCTAGTTTGTAATCAAACCACATATATTTAACACTGAGTTTTTCAGCATTCCTCCCATCACAGAGGGACAAGGGGGGAGCCTATCTGCACTTTCCACACCTTTAATCACCATCCCAGGAAGGGAAAAATGACATAGCAAGCTGTCAGCAGGGGAGAGGCGTATAGACAGAACTTACTGGATGCAGATCTCCTAGGAGTCATATTTTGCTACAGGTTTTCTCCATGGAAACCCAGCCTCACCAATCTTGTGCAGTCCCAGAGTGCACATCCCAGACTCAGAAGACTGAGATAATTTCTCTGCATGCTAAACCAATTATATTTTGTTTTCTCATTTTAAACAAGTTTTTATCCTTATAAAGTAATATGAAAAGGGGAGAGAGAGGCCTTCTTTTTCTGTTTAGTTTTCAATTTGTTATTTTCAACAAGAGATTGTGAAAAAATATTATTTCAAACAAACATTAAAATACCATAACTGAGCTCATAGAAAATTCATGATGAAGTCAATAAAAATCAGCCAAGTGAACTTCTCCCAGCAAAGCCAACTGGACTCATCCCATATGTTGAGTAGCAGAAGGATCCTCCCCCCTCATTATCTTAAAGAAAGTAGTGACAGAATTTTCAAGTTAAATATGTGAACAACTCATCCAAAATACACAAAACATGTTCAAGCAAACTAACTTAAAATGAGACATTTCACAATTGTACGGTTTTTCCCCCAGTATGATTCACTCAGCACAGCTGACTGAACAATTCTGTTAATGTGTGAGCTGAATAACCAGTTTGATTGTCCTGACACTTTTGAATGAGCTATGTAATTTTTCTGCATCACTCTCCCAGCTGTTATGGTGAACACCATGTATATTTGTATATTCCAGGATGAAAAATTACAGCTCTGGGTTTCAAAGCTGATTAATAAACATGCACTGAAGGTGACAAGAACTTTGAATCTCTATAAAAACATTACTAAAAAAGCTAAATTACTCTTTGCAAACCTTCAGTTCCTCCTGAATTTTTTCCTCCTCCAATTTGGCAGCTTTCCGATCTTCTATTTCTATTTTCCATTTTTCTGCCACTATTCTGGCTTTTTCTTGAGCCATAGCATCCCGGAATTTCTTTGTAATTTCAGCCTCCTTTTGCCTCCTTCAGAAAAGAGTTTGAAAATAAAAATAATTTAAGACACTGATTATTTTTTTTAAATCAAGGATCAATACTTGCTCACTGGTTGCAACAAATAATTAGCATAAGACTTCATGGAAATGTACAAGGAAAGAATTAAAATCTATTTAACAAGAGACCTACCACAAATCAGATTTGAGGAAACTATCCAGAAAGCAGACATTTTCAATTTTTGATAAATGACTAATTAAAATAGCACCTTCTAAATTAGAGAAGTACTTCTTGGGTGTCTTTGAGTCATACCCTATATTTTTCGTCCCCTGGCCAAAAACATAGATCTGTCAGTCTAGCAAAGCATGATTGGGAATTTATTGTCTCTCAAATATCAATGTGAGTGACTGCCAAATTCTTACAATAGATTGTTTATTAGTACTGACAATGTAAAAGGAACGCAGAGCACAGGTTGAAGCTTTTAATCCCTGCTTAAATATGCAAATCACCATAAGCAAGAAAAATCTGGTATGAAAAGGAATAATATAGAAAAATCTGATGTTTAAACCATCACTTTTCAGTGCTGGACTACAAAAGGAAGTGCAGGAGGCAGGTGGTCTACTTCCTAACCATATCAAGCATCAAAACACTTTTGACTCTCTCCCAAAGCTGGAAGAGGCCCTGCTGGAAACAGCAGCATAGCACTTTGTGTAATCAGTTTCTGAACTGCTGGGATGAGAATTAATACAGGTGATATGCAGATAAAACCAATTTCAAAAACGATTTTATGTACCAAATGCCTATTGTGGGCATAGATGTGTGATACAACAAACGTTTCTAATCTAATCATCTCAAAACCAGATTGTTTCATTTTTATTTATTTACAAACTGGTCAATGGTTTAGCAAAATTCCCAAAAGAAAAAGGTTTGCTTCACTTTTTTTGTGAAAGAGGGGGTTTGTTTTTCAGTTTTCAATACAAATAAAATTACATTTTTCATGTGCTGAAAAATTACCAAAACAAGTGAAAGCAAATGTTCACAAAGCATACTTACCAGTCTTACCCACCATTACCTGCTGCCTTTCTACAAGGCCATGTCTCCCATTATGCCAAGTGGACCCTGAATTCAGATTCTTAAATCCTCACCATAGTTCTTCTGCCTCCTTCTGTGCTTGTTGCCTGGCTCGCTCTGCTATTAGCTCCTCTGATATCTGTTCATATGGCTTGTCACCTGGGGCTTCTCCCATAACCCAGACCCAGACCTCACCGTCCTTCCCACGTAGCCACTGCACATGTTTGCCATTACCTGCAACAGCCACCAAGAACAAACCAGATATATAAATACTGGTTCAAATTCTTACATAAATGTAGATGAAAAGATGGGAAATCTGCAATTTAGAAACATTAAGCTTGCAATTACCATTCAGAATAAAACATTACTGAGAGGTTGGATGAAATCTTCAGATTTGACCAATCTACTATGCTGGGGCAAAAAAAAGGGGGGTGTACGCTCCAGATCACACAATCTTTAAAGACTCACTGTCCCACAAAAATATGGAATTATCAATTCTGACATGTATTTCCCAGAATTTAGGTATTATGATCCCTTTTTAATTGTTTTATTTTCTTGCTTCACTCAGCAAATGAAGAGAATGGCAAAAGAGATGGAGCGACAACAATAAGCAGTGACTTTATGTGACTAGCAATGCTACAGTGCACAGAGAATGTCGAGTGTTGAGCATATAGAGACTTCATTGGAACCCCTGCAAAAAATCCAGAAATTTCCTGCTCCCACTGTGCAAAGGGGGAGTTTCAGAAAGCCTGCATACTCGGAGCACACCACTCAACACTGCAGAGGCTTTTCTGTTCAGGTCGGCAATTGAAAGGGATTAAGTTTCTGGTTCAGTTTGCATGAAAGACACCACGCAAAAATCTATGGTTACTGTGTTGACAGAGTGATTTTAAAAACACCAGAAAAGCCTGAGTGCTCTTTACAAAATAGACTACATTTGGTGAACCTCCATGTCCCAGAACCAACTATAGGGTTCCTGCTGACTACAAAAGGCACTAGATTAGAACCTATCTGAATACATTTTAATAGTCACATACACTGCCTTAGTGTGGTTTGGTCTTTTCCTTCTGCTTTTATATGTATGACTAACAGATATTTTATGCGTTTCAGAGGTTCATATTGAGGAATTGGTAGAAACAGCTCTTATGCATCCATTTTTATGTTTTATTTCTTGCAAATTTGGTGAAACTGTTCTTTACAAAAGGAGAATCTACCACAAAGACCATTTCCAAGATGAACAATGGATTTCTTTTAAAGAACACAGACTGAAAGGCCATAAAGGCTCAGCAGTTCATCTCACTTCTTGTATATTACAGTCCACTAGGTTTCACCCTCTTACCCAAATATTGAGGTTAGTAAATTGTGCGTTGCCGCATAGCTTCTAAAAGGAATTTTGTCTCATTTGAAAAAGTGAAGAAATGGACAGTCCGCCATTTTCCTAGGTAGTTTTTCTCTGATGTTCCCATAAGAGTTAAAAGAAACCTGGTCGTATTTGAATGGCCAGTCTTTGCTTCCGCTCTTTCTGCTTCTTTCTGTACAAGCATCAGCTTAGCTACTCTCACCTTCAACTACCTGTTGTTCTGTGATAGGACAGTATCCATTTAACCAGATTAAGTTTCCCGATGCACAATCAATAAAGTTTTTTTGACATCCCAGACTGAAAGAAGAAAACTGCAGGAGGGAATGAAGCAGGGCTGTTGACAGCAGGCAGTGCCAGTGCCAACCCACACTCGCAAGTGTTGACAATATGAACTGCAGGCAATGAACATATCAGATCTCTCAAGGAAAGCTAATATTCTATATCAAATTTGAAAATGTGATTTATATGAATTCCCAGTGTTGGCCTAATGGTACTGACTTCAATGGGGGGGGGGGGGGGGTTTTAGGCCATAAATGTTTTCCTTCAATAAGTCTCAAAAGCATTTGCTCTCTCACAGTCTATCAGATTATGTCTCAGGTTATAAATGTGAATGTATTTTATTGTGGTTCCTAGTGTGTACATTTCTGTGTTCCTATCAGCACAACATTTATGTTGTATTTTTTGGATACAGCATTTGAACACCATCTGCTGAGAACTGACTGCCCATATCAGTATTTCCCTGCAAGGTTTTCTCCTACTGCATTTTACAGTAAAGTATCTTGGAAAGTATGGAATGATTTCCCAGGAGTATTGATCCCACCTAACCAATGGCAGCTTTTGTTTTAAAAGTGGCTCATGTCCTTTTCCCTGGGAGGAATCTGGATATCCTAGTTGTTGCCCTTTATTTAGTACTTTAAAGAAGCATTGCAAACAACATGCCTCATGTTAATTTTCTTGTATCATAACTGGTAGATACCAAATACTTCTACTGTTCTGAGACAACTTTACCACTACTGCTCATTTATGAGCTTATCAGATGGAAAGAGAATTAAAAAACCCTTTTCAGGTAAGCAGACAAATTTTATCTTTGCTTCTTTCCAGGTTTTCTGTGCCAAAGAGTTATTCATTCATATATTTCTCAGAGGCACAACTTATCCATTACTACCCAGCCCCATAAAACAAATAGTTCATTTGTAGACATGTCTTGAGAAATTATTCTCTGTCTTCCTTTTAAAACAATGGATGCCTCTTCTAAAGGTATGGACAGTAGATGTATAAACTTTTTGAAAACATCAGTGTAACAAATTGTTGATTCAGCACTAACTACTGTCTACAACAGTACAGTATTCTACTGTATAAGCATCCATAGCTCAAGTTGAAAGATAATAGCAGTATCAAACAATCTGGCAATTTTAAGCTTCAGCATTAAACAGACAGACCTCCACATGTACAATTTTAAAACAACTCAACTTGAGCACATATGCCTTTATTCAGGTTTTTCTTTAGAAAAAGAGAATGTCTCCTTCACATCCAACCACCCTTTCTATTTTACTTCAAGAAATGACTCCCATGCAAATCTTTCCTTAAACTCACGCTCCCATAAAGTTGGAGATGGGCTTTACTGTACAATCTGATCATGAAACTTGATAGATTCTTAGCACAGAATAACATTCAAAAATGAGTGTGCAGAAGAAAAAAAGCAGCTTAGGGAGAAAATCTGGCAATGTGAAAACGGAATTCCTGTCATAGAAAAAGTCTTTGCAGCCTGCAGAATCAAGTTCACAGTGGTCAGTGTCAGCTCTTCTAGGCTAACGATACTGGGCTTGCAGTTTTAAACTGTAGAACCAATTACAAGATCTGAGCTGAAAGTACAGAACATTATTTTCCTTAATATTTTTAGGAAACTAGTGTCTGCTTTGCAAGCAGAGAATTACTACCATTGAGGGCTGATTATAATAAAATAATTTCTGCTTTGAGATGCCTCTCAAGTTTTACATTTTTCTGCAAAACAAGATATTTTGTTAACACACTTCATTTCCAAATGAAAGAGAAATAGAAAAAAAGAAATAGAAAAAATCAACTAAATCTAAAAGGAAGAGACAGGTCCTGACTAAACAAATCTAGGTGAGATAGAGGCAAGGGAACTTCATGTTTCCTGTTCAGAAGCAGGCTTCTGAGCCCAGTCACAAAGCCTAATGCAGAGTCAGGAAATAAAAATTAAATCTCCTGAGCCCCAGTCTTGTGCCTTGACCACAAAAGTACTTTTCTTTTCCTGGAGATACTGTGGCAGGCTGCAAATAATTACAATTAGGAAGTAGTGGACATCAAAATTAGTCTACATTGGAGACGAAATGAAAGTGTTTAAGAAACAAACACTGCTTTATCAGGAAAATGTACTGAATAATTTACCAAGTCTTTTCCATCTCTAATCTTCAGACCAATGATTATTGGCTGTAGTATTCTACCAGTTTTTTCGTCTAAAACAACTCTTTAGCAGCACAAGAAGGCAACATTAATTCTTGCAGTTCTTTTCACCTGTAGCTCTTCCACAACTTAGTATTTCCCATGGAGTTCCCCTAAACCTACATCTATACTGCTTTGAGACAAGTAAATTGGTTTCTGGGTATTGGTCCTTACTCCAGGCAAATTTGAGACAGGTATCTCAAATTTGCAGCACAAAGGGATCACAGTGAAAACTTTCTTGGAGACCTACAGCCCGAACCAACAGCAACACAAATTTGCATGTATAAACACACACAATCAAAAATAAGACCAAATCATGTTTACTATTTGTTTGTATTTACGCAGTCAATTCTGTAACAGCAATGAAAGTATAAAACAATGCCCTAGAGAGTAATAGTAAACTCAAGGCTCTCTCCTCTAAGAATTATTAGTCTCTACCGGCAGCACTACTAATCTCATACACACACAGAGTGCTGGAGTGCAACCATGAGTTGTGCTATATGGCACCACAGGCTGCTCTTGGCCTTTCTGCTACCCTTAGGAAGTCCCTGGTGTAAGCACGGTACCGTTACTGTCAGGACTGAATGCTGCCAGAAAATACGAACGCTGCCAGCCACCTTAGGAGAACGAGAAAAACAGCACCTGAAGGTGCCTGGCAGGGGGAATCCTGGCTGCACACAATGCTCAGGCTAAATCAGGCTTCAATTCCAATCAGCTCAGACTTCCACACTGTGACTAAGGCTTAAAAACAAATGGAGTTAAACAAAGGAGAACTGGGCCTTTACACTGCCTCTGCTAACCGGGACAGAGAAGCAGAACCACGGAGTGCATTTGGGTGTTTTATGGGGTTTGGGGGTTTGGGTTGATTTTTGTGATTTTGGGTTCTATCTGGCTTCATTTTCACACAGGCTTCTAATTAAAAGCGCTTTAAAAATAACAGAGCAAATGGAATACTGCTGGAGCCAGCTTCCTTCCTCCAAGCTTGTTCACCATTGCTTTAACAGTAACGGAATCCCTAACAATCCCCATTTGTCATCCATCTCCAGTGTTTACAGGGAAACTACTCCAAGGACCACTGGAGGCCTCATCTGGTGTCACGCCTCCCAGCTGTGCTGTCACTTGGCCACCGTCTGCCTGCTTAGTCCAGCCAAATGATGGAGAGCACCAAGTAACCCTGACTGCCTTTCTATCATAGGGAATATTACAGGCTGGGCCAAGTGTAAATTCAGAAAATCAGAAGATCACTGATTTATAATCTGAGAAACATGGAATGGCATTCAAAGTCTCCTGAAACTTTCTCAAAAGAGCCTGCTATTTCCATGAACAGTCTTGTTTCTCCAAGGTTGGGCTTCCCACCATAGTCCTCCTGCTTGGAAGCCACAGATCTCTGCAACAGCAATTGACTCTCCTT